GAATTCTATCTGGAAGGTGGTGCTATGGTGCTTGCTGACGGAGGTGTTGTCTGTATCGATGAGTTCGACAAGATGCGGGACGAAGACCGGGTCGCCATCCACGAAGCTATGGAGCAGCAAACAATTTCGATTGCCAAAGCCGGTATCACGACCATTCTTAATTCGCGAACATCGGTGCTGGCCGCTGCCAACCCTATCTTTGGTCGGTACGATGACCTGAAGACTCCTGGAGAGAACATTGACTTTCAAACGACTATTCTGTCACGTTTCGATATGATCTTCATCGTTCGCGACGACCATGACCGCAATCGTGACGAGAACATTGCCCGACACGTGATGGGTGTTCATATGGGTGGCAGAGGCATTGAGGAACAAGTCGAGGCCGAGGTTCCCTTGGAGAAGATGAAGCGCTACATCAGCTACTGCCGAAGGTATGTCCTTTAACCGCATATTTTCAAACCAGAAACCAAGCTAACAAGTGAACCTAGCCGGTGTGCCCCGCGTCTTTCACCTGAAGCTGCGGAGAAGCTTTCCTCGCACTTTGTGTCCATCCGGAAGCAAGTCCATCGGGCAGAGATGGATGCCAACACCCGTTCCTCCATTCCCATCACCGTGCGTCAGTTGGAAGCCATTGTTCGTATCACCGAGTCCTTGGCCAAGTTAAGCCTGTCGCCGATTGCCACCGAGGCGCATGTCGACGAAGCCATCCGCCTCTTCTTGGCTTCCACAATGGATGCAGTCACACAGGGTGAAGGCCAGGGCAGTAAAGAGCTGATGGAGGAGGTCGGCAAGATCGAGGATGAGCTGAAGCGCCGTCTCCCCATCGGCTGGAGTACGAGTTTGGCCACTCTGAGACGAGAATTCGTCGATGGCAGAGGCTACACAGAGCAAGCTCTCAACAGAGCATTGGTGGTTCTCCAGAGACGCGATACGATCCAAATCCGCTCTGGTGGATCACAGGTCTATCGGCATGGTATTTAATAAGTTGGACATGTTGCGCGGACGCGGCAGTCCATTTGCGTATATCCTCTGATTCACTTCACGTCAAGGGTTATGTATTAAATGAGGGGAAGGAGTACAATCTGACCTTGCGATACTTGGGCATGAGGGTCTGAAACGGTGTACGGCGCATGATCTTTCGGCGTATGGATTTTCAATGACTAGTTAGAACAATATATCCCGCCATGAGTGAACGAGATTGGTACTTTGTAGCCTGACACACAATTGCCCTGCTACTGTATTTCTCCATTGAGCGACTGCGGGTTGCGGTTGTTGAGAGTAACCCAAGTGGGGAGCTTCGCAAAGGTCCCCACCGCGGCAACCTGTCGATGACGGAGTCGATGTCTCCATGATTCTACGGAGTACATTCTTCAAGACTGCGACCCTTCCAGCAAACACAATCTATATTAATATAATACCTATAATGTAAGCGCCCTCTTCTCATCAATCTCTACATCTTGAATTGACCATCTCCAAGACCACGGATCTGCACAATACTCACCCCGCATTTCCGTCTGCGAGGCTACGACAAATACAACATACATACCTCTCTAGTCCTTCCTTACAATCGATTGCAACTACAACCATGGCACCTACAATCCGAGTCATCGGCTCCCTAAACGCCGACATGGTCTCCGTAACCCCCCGCTTCCCGGAACCAGGCGAGACAATCACCTCATCCTCATATTTCACCAGCGCTGGCGGAAAAGGCGCCAACCAGGCCGTCGCATGCGGGCGATTGTCGCGGCGGAAACCATCCCCGCCCTCGACCTCCAACAAGCCGGAGAGCCAGTGTTACACTGAGAACGACATCAAAGTCGAGATGGTCGGCGCCGTAGGCGCCCTGGACGGCCACTTCCAGGCGCTGCTGAAACCCACGCTGGAGAAGTCGGGTGTGGACACGTCCCGCGTGCGGGTCGTGGAGGATGCGTATACGGGGGTCGCGGTGATCATCGTGGACTCGTCTGCTGGCGGGGAGAACCGGATTCTGTTCTCGCCAGGGGCGAATTACACGGGGATGCGGGCGACGGAGGACGTGCTGGGGATGGGGCTTGCGGCGCCGGTGCCGGATGTGATTGTCATGCAGGGGGAGATCCCCGTTGACACGGTGGTGGGCATTCTGCGGGATATTAGGGCGTGGAAGGCGAATCATCGAGCGCAGGGGAAGAAAGGGATCGAGGCTGGCCCGGATGTCATGTATAACCCTGCGCCGGCGCCGCCGGGTGGTTTGCCTGAGGAAGTGTACACTGCCGTTGACCATATCATTATGAACGAGACGGAGGCGGAGCTGATGAGTCCGTCTGAGGAGCACTTGCTCAAGGTTGTTCCCGGTGTGGAGAAGGAGAGCAGAAACGAGAAGGTGGCGCGGTACTTCCACCAGCTGGGCGTGACGTATGTGCTCATCACGCTGGGGTCCAAGGGTGTTTGGTATAGTGCGACGGATGCGGGGACGTCTGGCCCTGCGGATGGAGTCAATCGGTTTACGAAGCAGATTCCGGCCGCGAAAGTCAGCAAGGTGCTGGATACCACGGCGGCCGGGGATACTTTTGTTGGTGCATATGCCGTGGAAGTGGCGCGCTGGCGCGAGTCACGACGAGCGGATGGCAAAGCCGGACAAGACGTGGCTGCAGAGGAGAAGGCATATCGGTATCAAGAAGTCATGGACAAGGCGATGGGTTTGGCGACCCGCGCCGCAGCACGATGCGTAGAGCGCCAGGGAGCGATGGACAGCATTCCTTGGGCGGATGAGATATGACGATACTCGGTATGCGGTGAACGGCAGCTTATAACGAAACAATCCACAGTGGCGTGTATACATACCATGCCATTGCACGAGAACACTCAAAAATGGGGCAAATGACTATCAAGTATAAGACCAGGTGACAGCACACAGGTCATCGAAACGGAGATCAGTGGCGGGCATTAAGAAAAGTATTCCTAGGAACTCGAGTAGACACGAGAAATGGAATGAGATGGGCTGTGGAATGACCAGCTGAGCATTCAGAGCATTCATTCTTCAGTGCAGCAGCACGAGATGCTTGCCTCTAAGCCTACACTACGTTCAACCGTACTTCCAAGCGTAGATCAATTGAATGGCGGCAATTCGCCATTCGCCAGCGCGTAAGAACTCTACCCTTTCCAGCTCAACTACCTGTGAGAGGTAAAACTCCCGCAATAGACAGACAGTCCGTCCTAGCGTCTCCATGACGCTTTTCAAACAAATCACGATAGTCTCGACGCAGCCGCTGGGGATGTGTTGTCCGTTTCATATTGTCTCTCGTCGCGCAGGGAACCACTGGCTGAGAACAACCGAAGATTCGACTTTAATTTTAGGTCTATTAGATTGACCATGTCATTGACAAATCAGCATGGATTCTCGACCGAGTCAGATGCGGCTTCTGCTGAGCGATGGATACAGTCTGCCTATATTCTGACCTGATGCATGCAAGGACGCCTGGTTCTGAGATAAGCAGTCATGTACAGAGTAGAAAACTAAGAGTCGGAGGATGCCGAATCATGGACATGGATGGAGGAGGCATTGCTCAAGGAAGGGGCTGAAACGGAGGATGACAGTGCGCGAGAGTAAGACGCGACGTGCTGGACGCATTGGGATCTGACTTTCCTGTTTCTTGGAAGTTGAAGCTGAGGTTTAATTCTTGGTATCTAGTGAGTGGGACGCGTCGAAGGGATGGAAATCAAGTACTCCTACCTCTGAGGAGGAGTATTCGGAAGTAGTAGTAGTATTCTATCTTGCTTATCATTGCTAACTACCTTTATGATAACTAATGAATCTCATACTGATGATCTACAAGTATGTTGACTCGACAGTCATTTACGGAATAGTCTTGTTATCGCGGGTCAATCATGAGGATAAGAGCGATAGGGATCTATTCTGTAGATGATCAAAGACAATCAAGGGCTGAACCATGATAAATGAAGAAAAGTAAGAGACACGAGTTGACGCGACCTGGTGCACGTCGACAACCTTCATCTATGTATTGAGCTGATGGTGAGAGGAAGTGAGGGGAAGCTACTATGGAACGAAGGATAATTGGATTATCTGGAGTCGTGGGATCCTTTAAGAGTCCAATAGAGATGCTGATTCAATAATTGATAATACAAGGTGCGCGCCTTGCATAGCTTGTAATCTACCTTAGTCTAGTCGTAGGAGCCTACACCTTAAACTACTTGAAGGATATCCAACACGAACATGACGCGCTCCATCACGATCACGGTCCAAGTGTGGAGTGGAGGAGGTCCATCAGACACGCCTCAAATACTTCGCTGCATCCCTCATCCCTCCTCCAGGCATGGAGATGATACCAATCTCTGATCATCATCTTACTACTTCATTCATTCTTTGCCGTTGAAGCATCCCTTTACTGCATCGCTGTACCTGTCAATCAGATCAATTCCTGCCCTCCAGTTTCGACCAGGAATTTGCCCTGTCTGCTGCCCTTGCCTCCTCTTCTTTTCTGTTGCATCCTCCATACTTCCTCACCGACCATATATCTTCTGTGCATTGCCTCGTCTGCCTCGTTCTTGATCGCTAATTTCTTTTTTATCCTCCTAATCCTCACATCCTCACCACCACGGTCTTCTCCCATCCAACCCCCCCCCCGTCCTGTACATCCACAGCAGTATCAGATCGTACCATATCATATATTCAACAGACCGTGCCGTATTTATCTCCGTCGCAGCCACACTCAATCCTGCTCCAATCATCGCTTACTTCCTCTGTGATCGATAGATCTATCTGTCTATCATCTATCTATCTACCAGTACCATCAGCCGGGATCATCAGCTTAGACCGCCAATCCCTTGCGGACCCCACTTCCGCGAAATCAAAACAAATCCAGGCAGCCACAGCTCCGTCTTACTTCCTCGGTCGCATTCGACTGTTGGAATAAATACGACCTGGTTAGTATCAAAAAGAAATCATTCTTGCTTTGACAGCAAGATCTTCAACGGGTGCGATTCGTTTCAGCATCCGTCTCAGTATGGCCGCCCTTACTATGACTCCTACCACCATGCGGCAGCCCTTTGCCAGCCTCGATGCACCCCGTATGCGCTCCTTGCTTAAGACAAAAATGAACAGCAAGAACCAGCAGAATGGTATGGCTTTCCCGGCCCTTGACCACACATACAACGTCCTTCTAACACTCGGCTTCACGTCAGGTGCGTCCCCTGCCAAGAGGAGGCCTTTGGCTGAGGTTGATGCGGAGAATATCGACCCGGTCACCCTAAACATGTCAACAAAGCGAAAGCGCGGCTGCGATGAAGAAGACCACGATCCCAGCAAATGCTCTCCCAAGCCATTGAAGACCTCTCGTATGGCTCTGACCGTCGTGAAATCGAACATTGCGTCCCCCATGCCTTCCTCTACCTTCAAGGCACCTCTCTCGAAACCTAAATCCACGCCAGCTCTCAAGCCTGTCGGCCGTTCGCCTCAGGGCAAATCCTGCAAAGCATTTGCTCGTCGCTCCACCATCAGCAAGAGTCGGCCAGAACCCACGGGCAGAAAGAGCATATCCCGGCCTTTCTCCATCGCGACAGTATTGGGTAATGCGCAGCCCAAGAGCCAAACCGCCCCTAAGACTCCAGCCTCCTGGTCTTTTGAGATCCACGTGGACTCGGAGCAGGAAGAAATGACCAACCTGATGCAGCACTCCACCTGCGTGCTGGATATCAGCGATGACGAGGGCAAGGCGGAATTCTCAAGTCGCGGCAAGGAGAACATTCCCCCGTCTGAGTTGGGAACTGACCTGTCTCGGACACGTGAGCGAGAGACTTCCGTCTCAAGAAAGACTCAGATGACGGATGAGCCTCGCTCTCCGCTCGGTGAACTCAATGCCGCGGACTACTATGGCGAAGATTGCCATGCCTTTTCATATGCCGTGGTTTACGACGAGGATGAGACCGCCTCGGAAACAAAGACCGCCCTCCCTCCCCTGCCACGCAACCCCGCTCGGACAAAGTTGTCAAGTGTATCATCCATATCCTCGATCCTTGCAGCTACCCAACCCGTCAAGACTACCGAGTCTACAAAATCTGAGGCAGAAATTGAAATCTGGGAGAGCCAGAGCACTGCAGATGAATCAGAGAAGGCGATAGAGAGCAACCCCAGCGATGAGCTCTCCTCATCATCGGCCTAATTAATTAATGTTTGAAATAATCGTTTGTCATGTTAATACTAGTCTGGATGGCACCGGCGTTTGAACTAGCGGGTTGGACACATTTGCATGGCGTTGAAAATGGTTCCTGTTTCTGGAAATTTTCGAACTTGGATACCCTCTCTTGCCCTCTTTTGATCTTGTCATTTCTTTTCTTTCCATAATCAGCAATTGGATCCGTCATGATGAGCTTACGTTCCTTAATCTTGCTTGTAGTGATTCCCTACTTAGCTTCCTTGTTGTTATCAGTTCTGCTTAATGTTGGCTTCTCATCATCTGACCATAGCCGCTTAGCTCGTAAGCCCAATATTATATGCCGAAAATAGATACCTGCTAGTCACAATAGATCAAATTAGGGTAACACAGCTTGAGAAGAGAATCATGGCTTTGACGGTTCGTCTACATCCATATCATCTCCCACATCCGACTCTTCCTGGTCCAGATCATTCGCCTCATCCTCGTCCGCCGCCGTCGCAGCAGCCTCCACCGCTTCCGCCGCAGCCGCCACCTGAGCCTCCAGCCTCTCCGCCTCCTCCAGCGCCTCCTCCTCGCCTTCGCCCTCGCTCTCCTCTTCCTCGCCTACATCTTCGCTCCACTGCACGCGTTTCCCGCGCGCAGCATCAAAAGCAACCCCTCCCGCCGAAGGAGCAGCATTCGAACGCGCACTCGCACCCGCCGCATCAAGCTGCCCCTTCCAGGACGCCTTGATCGACGCCCGAATATCAGTCGCCAGCTGCATCTCCCGCGAGGACGTCCCCTCGGGGTCGAGCGTGAAGTCAGCCAGCGAGCTATCCGGCGCAACATGGTCCGGGAAGCGGAGAACGCGGGCGAACTCGTGCTCGTCGGCGGCGCGGCCGTCGAGCATGCTCTGCACTTTGGCGCGCATGATCGTCCTGGCTTTGCCGATGGTGCCGCTGCCGAACCAGCCGTCGACGGCGATTTCGCACGTGTCTCTGAGGAAGCCTGGGGGTTGCGGATCGGGGAAGAGGATGGAGCGCAGGAGCGGGTCGGTGATGTCGCAGAACATCCACATGCGGCCGTCTGGTGGAAGGGGCGGAGTGCCGGTGAAGAGGTGTGTGTCTGTTGGTAAGGGGGTGAAGGCGTCGGTGCCCGTGGGGACCTCGTTGGGTCGTGGGATGGTGTGCCGTCTGCCGCTGCCGGCGTCGCGAGCGAGCTCCGAGGTGCCAGATAGGATACGGAACATGACGGTTTGGTAGATGCGGTAAGCGGGGGAGGTGCGCGGGTCGTGGCCGAACTTGATGATGGCGTCGCGCCAGGGTCCTGAGCGGAAGATGTAGCCGACGTAAGGCACGGCGTGGCGGAGGGCGTAGCGCTGTTCGGGGGTTTTGAGGTGGTTGCGGAGGCCACGGCGGGTCCAGGCTGGGCGCTCTTTGAAGAGGTCTTCGACGAGGGTGATGGTTTCTCGTAAGGTTGGCTCGAGGGTGTGGATGGGTGCGAGGTTTTCGCGGGGTTTGGTGGGCACGGGTGCGTCGAAGGGAAGTAGATAGGTATACACTTTGGCGGCTTGGGAGGTGTTGACGGTGGTGAGGTTGCCGGAGGTGTCGACTGATTGTCGGACGGTTGGGTTTTGACGGTAACTTGGCTGGGGTTAGTGTTGGTGAATGGACATGTGGTGCAAGAGGCATACATGTAGGTAAATGGGACGTCCCCATGGCTCAGGGAGGGAGGCGGTATGATATCGACATTGGATGTGGCACCCTTGCTCATGTCAATATCAAACTGTCTCATCTTATCATCTGCTCAATCTTAGTCATGTCTCTCTACATTCAGCAATGTAATGCTTACAGTCAAAAGAGAGTATCTGCTCCCGGAATCGATTGGTGAATGCGCTCCCGGTGGTCGAGTAGACAAAGTCGGGCATGCCTGGAGAACGTGATCAACCTTCTGTAGCTGACATGTGAAGAGGGGCAATACAAACCTCGAAACACATGCGTCCGGTTAACCATCCCAACAGGCTCAACCTTGTACTTGCCCACGTTGTCACTCAGACTTCGGAGTAGCTGCTTCGCACTCCTCCGCTGAGGCTGTTCATGGACGGTCGTGACAGGAACACCAGAGAATGGCTCATCCGAGCCCTTCTTGCGTTTCCGGCCAGTCCTCTTGGGAACTGTCACTTTGAGTAGGATATTGTTAGAAGCAGAGCTCGTCGACTGGAGTGGTCGAGACATGGCATCCTCCGGCCGCAGAAAGAGTTTGGCTCGGGTGTCAGCCTTTGGCGGGTTCAGAATCTGATTTTGTTAGCATTTTACTTAATGCACTTTTGGGAATGCACCTTACCTTTGAGATGCCTGCATTGCCTTGTAGAGTTTCAATTGCCTTATCGACGTCCTTGATGATGGCCGGGTGCTCCACGCTGATGATGTGACGAGCAGGGATTGAGTAGTACGGTGCTGTTCTTGTCCCTTGTTGGTCCATCATATTGTCTGGACTAGTTGGTGTCGTTTGGTCCTCCATCGTGCCTTTGTGTTGTCAACAAATTGGCGTGGACATAAATCACGAAGCCGTGATCAAGAAGAGGTCAGATATGTATATTTCCACCAGTTTACGAATAGGATCTGGTGATGGACAGGAATCGGCAATCCGCCAACTCCACACTGTAGAACCGGTCTTTCAATTCGTGAGACCAGACATATGGAGAGTCTACTTTGACAGTCAATACATGACGTTTATGGGGACGCTGAATCCGATCCTGAGGTATTGCTCTAGGATCTTGTCTCTACCTTACTGGTGATTTGAGAATCGTCGAGTCACATGACTTATCTCCAAGCCAGGCATTACTGAGAGGAGATTGCCCCTCTAGTGTGATTTGACCATCGAACTGATCTTTGATTTAATTGTGCGATCTGTTTCAGTGCGAGCAGTCAGATCTGGACAGTAGTATGTAGATAGATAGACAACTACCCAGAGCACTGCAGGTGTCCTTGTGTCGTGTGAACTTCTGCAGATTTACCAGCCCGAGCGCTCCTCAGCCACAGTGACAGGACGGTTTGTTTCATCTCCGTCGTAAGGACCACCACAACAACAAGCACCAGCATACAATCTACTCAGCGTGTCAGCAATCTTCTGCAATTGCCGTTCCTGAAATTTTATATTATGGTCTCTTCTTGATATTAATAACCTTTTATTATCTCATTCCTTGTTGCAAACTGCATCGTTCATCTTAATTTCTGGGGCTCTTGCACCCACCCCGCTCTTCCCAGCCAGCCAGCCGCTAAGCGACAAGGAGACAGACGATCGGCCCAAGCAGACCAAACCAAACTGACCTGATAGCTGCTCCTGACTATCTATCTATCGAAAACCGACTGGGTTCGCGTCCGAAAGAAAACTGAGAGATCTATCTAATCAGACTTGTGTCTCCTCCACTCGGCCTCGATATCCGCATTGTCAGATTGATTCTGGAAATACTCTACTGAGGTAAGTTGTGCAGCAATGGTTTCTTGTGACTGGATTCACCGTTTCTGTTTGCCCCTGGTGCTACAATTGTCCGCTTGTTCCTTAACCTACCGCTTCCCCCCATTCTGACCCTCAACTCTGGGGTTATTCGTTCAACCCACCACTTCCTATTTTTTGGTTTTCGAGTCCGAAGTCGTCGATCTTCCGACTCGAATGGTTTGAAATCCTGCAATTTTTCGATTGATAATTACCGTCGCTTTCTACCTGTTGTGGTTGGAACATGCTCATGTGGTCATTCCAGGCCGAACATAAACAAATCACGCCGTGGCTCCTCCTTGAACTGCGTTCGCGCTGCCCGACTTAACGCCTCCTGCTAGTGTGCGGCAGCTTGCTGCACTGGCATCGAGAACCTCGACCGAGTACATGTGGCTGGTTACATAGTCTTGACAATGAAGGGTTTCAGACAGAGAGTGGTGAGTCTGCTCAACGATCGCCGCCCCCCCTCCCCGCCTTGATGCCTGGCGACCACCACAGCACTGCGATATGACAAGTTCCTGGCTAAGATAACTATCCAGCATGAGCAGTTGTCGAGGGCGAAAGAAGCGAATAAGTCCTCGAAGAAGAAAGACTCCCAGAATCAGGCCGCCCTCGCCACTCACCAGGCCCAGCAACCCGCGTCCCCGAACCACGGCACGCCGACTTCATCTACGACCTCCGTAAATGATATAAGGGGAAAGTCACCGGATAATGCCACGCAAGCGGGCGTGTACCCCGCTGGCCAGCATTATATCCCACACGGTGCAGGTGTCGCTGGACAGCCTGTGAACAATGGACCGGGGACTCCGACCAAGCAAGGGCAGCCGATTGCACCTAGCGTTATCATCAGCCCAAGCGCACCACCGGTGAGTTTCCTAGCAACGCTCCAACGTCTGTCGGAGACATTGGGGTCGCGCCGTGACTGTATCGATGGAACAACCGATGAGTGCTGACTTTCCCATCTCGATAGCATGTCCCTCCCCCTGGTGCCGCAGAGACGATGCCTGGCGACTTGGCTCCTCCGAGAAAATCCCATGTCTTTGATCGCCTCCAGACTACACCCAAGGATATGTCGGAAGGGATTCGGACTCCAAAGCGCCAGCATTCGTCACGATTCGATATCTCCGATCAGCGCCAACGGGAGTTGGAGAAACTTCCTGGATTCCACGAAGTGCCACCGAATCGGCGCCAAGAGCTTTTTATGCAGAAGATTGACCAGTGCAATATCATTTTCGACTTCAATGATCCTACAGCCGACATGAAGTCCAAGGAGATCAAGAGACTGGCGCTCCACGAGCTCCTGGACTACGTAGCGAATAACCGTTCAGTGATCACCGAACCCATGTACCCTCGAGTGGTCGAGATGTTCGCCAAAAACCTCTTTCGACCCATCCCTCCCCCAGTTACCCCCCAAGGCGAGGCCTTTGATCCGGAAGAGGATGAGCCGGTCCTGGAAGTGGCCTGGCCGCATATCCAGGTTGTATATGAGTTCTTCTTGAGATTTATCGAGAGTCAAGATTTTAACACCAACA